ATTGGATTGAAACGAAAAATACTGATTGGTGATACCTTAAATTTTCGATCAAAGTTACGACATTCTAATCGTCGTTCGCCGTTCTCATCCTCAGGCAAAGTTTCCCATTCAATATCACCTACTTCGACGTGAACAATAGCCAGACAAAAATGCTGCAGTAAAATCGCACTGAACAACAATCTGAAATTATCACTTTTTGCTAGAGCAGTTTGCAGTGCTCAACTGAAATATGAAAATTTGTTTTGAATGAGGTTATCGGTAAAACAATGATGTTACCAGTAAAACCCGAAATATTCTCCCCATTCGATTTCTATGCGAAACAAAAGCATATTTCTAAGCTATTTTCAATTAGACAGAATTTAAACGTATTCATAAATTCACCCGTATTGATTTAGTACTATTGTTCAAGGGCCACAGAAATTATCGGATAATCGTGCTCTGATAAGTTTGTAGTATTTATGGTAAATTACATTATTTTCAAAGCTGACAAATGCAGAAAACAATTGATGTAGCAGTTTTTGCCTGTAGAAACAGATCAATAACTTTTTCGTTCTGTTAGCGTTTCTTCATTGATATTCTATGAATGTAATCATACTTTACAATCAGCACTGAATTGATATTCCGCTAAATTCACTGATGCACGAAGAATTCACATTGTAGGAAAAATTTCAGAACGTTTCAATTTGTTCAAATAACGATAAATGTTATGCTTAATCATTCGCAGCCAGTAATTTTTCTTGTCAGAAATTGCTGACAATATGACTGTGAACGCAATCAAATATTCCATTGGTGAACAATGTGATCGAGAGAAATTTGAACAGTTCTATCGAATGTCACGATATGATTTGTACTTTTAATGTGACTGATCGCTGCGATTAGCATCAGTAACAATAACTGATAGCAAATAATGACAATAGTGCTATTATTGGGGCTTATATGGAATAGCCCAAAATTGAGAAATTCAAAAGAACTGGTCACTGAAAATGATCAATAAATAAACAGCTAAAATGATGATTTGAAAAATAGATAAAAAAATTTCACCTTAAAAGCATTTGAGAGAAGACACCGTTGTTGGTTTCATAAAGCTGGCCTTTTGCTTGCAGTGATCATAGACATTATTGTACGTGCGTTGTGAGCATTGTACGTGAATGTTGTTATCTGGTCTTGTTTGTTATTGATGCACGACGACGGTAGTAGTATGCATTATTGTGTTTATACAGCAATAAATATATCAGAATGCATAATTTTGCGTTGTTTGTTCTGTCGAGTTGCTTGTCGTCCACGGGGATCATTACTCTTCAGTTATTTTGTTATCTTTCCATACTATAATCTGAGCAGATATTATATCACATACAACAGCTACTATTGCTAACGTAATCCATCATCGCGATTTCCACAACAGATCGTTTTTTACAACTTACGCCTCATACAATACGCATTATGTTGAAGTACTGTACCCATAACGTTAGCTCTACTGATTTTTTATCTTCGCATCATCACTGCGGTGTACGCACACAACAAGTATTATATCTACGCGTGCATTTATCTGTCAGAAAGCTTCCACTCTTCATTACTAATTTGAAATCGAAGAGTCGTTTTTGAATGTTGTCTAGTATTTAGTTAATACAATATATCAAATTCGAGTGATCTGTTGACAAGAAATTAAGCACATCTAGAAAATTATTACTTCTCATTACCACACTCTTTTGGCAAACGTTACAAGTAATTGGCAAAACCGATAGTATAAGACAAAACTGTATGACAATACTATAGAGTGATATCAGCAGATAATACAGTGTTGAAGCACTACAATAGAATGACTTAGAACTGAAATGAAATGAAATATTTTTGCATTAAAATGAACGAAGAACTGCATCGAGCGAATACAAAAATTTCTTTGTTACACGTGTGCTGAATTTATGATTTCATTCAAATAAACCATTTAAAGGGACAAAACTAACGAAATTATCTTCGTCGAGCGGTATAAAATATAAATTATATGTATGTATCTCATTGCAGAAATTCAAGGAATTCGATCGGTCTGTGAATCGTTCGTGCAAAATATTTATTACAAAAAGAAATGCATTAGCACATAGCTGTGATATTTTCAGTTTGCTGAAATGAACACCGAAAAAAGTTTCTCAACAAGACAGCTAAATTGTGCTAACGTTTCCCAGGCGACTGATTAAACAAATTTATTTGTACAAAATGCTTTCGAAATCGTCACTTTCATTGTATGAGCATTCTAATGTTCGATGATAATGATCGTAATGATATGCACCGTAACAATCGATTATCTGTTCTCCAGTTGCGAGTGCTTCTTGAAATTGAGATTGAAACTCACTTCGAATCAATCATACAAATCATATCACAAAGAGCGACGATGACCAAAAGCGCGTTAATCACGTTAATTCCGCTATTCACTAACAGTCAGAGTAACGCTACTTTCATCATATAGTGGAAAGGTGTACCGATAACTTCTGCTACAATAACTTTAGTGGCACAAAGTAGCGAAAAATGCGCTTCTTTCTTTGGTTAGCACTTAAACAAACTACTTCCGCTAAGACGTCGTCATCTTTCGTCTGCAAGAGGATGTCGTCTATTTTTCTCAACATCAACGTATTAAAAAATACATAACTGCAGTGTAGCACTGAGAAGTGCTCAATTTAAACTTATCGTACTCGTCTTCGTCTCAACGGGTCGAAGATAAATATTTAGCCATAACAAATTATATATATTAGCACACAAGGGAGCGATATCAAGCGATTAAGTCGTATGATACCTGGAACAGAAAAGTGTTGGTGAGTAACATTAGGTGGGGTGAAGTAGCTCCTTCCTCTTATTTAATAGTTAGCGTGATTTTAACACAGATATGAATCTGATTTCATTTGGTAGAATAGATCGAAATCTGCATTTAAATGTTTGAAGCATTTGTGTGGGGACAATTTGTTAGGTGAGTGGATTCCAGGCTCTAGCGACTCTATTTTCAGACGAGAGTTTTGATCAATTTATAAGGTCAATATGAAATCCTCGCAGTTCTGAAGTTTCAAATAATATAGATATCTCACAATCAGAACGGAATCTTGAAGAACATCACTGACAATGCATTCTGATGAACTTAATGAATCAACAACAGTGGATGATTGCGAAGTGTTCTTAAGAAAATCGCATTTGACCGCAGAAAGAACCTCGCAGGCCACATGTTCGTAATTTAGAGGATAATTTAGGTATGGATGGCCAATGAAACACATTTTCAAAGTCAAAATATATACCATCTACGTATTTCATCCTTATCAAATAAAATAGACAATTTTGATAAGATCAAATTAAAATCGCAGTGATTGATCTTCCGTCGAGAAAGCCACAGCGGAAATGGGAAAACTGCTTATTAATTGTGATATAATTTTTCAGTTTGGTTGCAGCCGATACAATAAGCAGTTTTCTCATAACTTTAGAAATTCAGCAAGTTAATGAAAGTTTTACGAATTCATTTTGAAAACTTTTTTTGTATAGATCTGATGGCTGCTGATTTCCATCATGAGGGTTTGATCGTGAGTCAGCCGATACAATAAGGGGCAAACGACCCAGATTCTCGAACGAAGTGCTCAACGTGATGATATTCTCTAAGGGGAATGTGTGTGCTGTGCTACCAGCTGATTGTTTTATCTTTGAATTTTGTTTGCGTCATTTTGTTATTTTTGATTACTGCTGAACTTCGCTTTTATTGTTGACTGGTGCTTATTGTTGGAAAGATTATTTGCCCTTGAATGATAAAATAAAAATTTCCGACTGTTTAATTGCATAATGAGATTTTTTCTCGGACAAATAAGCAGTTTGACTGCAAATCTCGAGTATTGACTTGAGAATAGTGATTAGCGGATTAATTTCCCAAATTGTAAGCAGCGTTTTATCGAAAAATTTTCGCTAATTTTCACCATAAGCGCTGCTAGCGGACGACTTCTGACGGGACGAGAATGATTCTTAGTGAAATGGCGATTAGCTGACAATGAGCTACTTTTTTCAGTGGTGTGCCCATCACTGACCAAATGCAATGCAAAAGTACAACTTAGCCGTAATGAACATGCAAAAAGCAGAATTCACATTTTGGATACACTCTACTCGCTTCCATTTGTGAACAGAGATCCTTTTAGGGCAAACATCAAAAGCTCAGTTCTTCTGTGCACAATCGTCTGCAACAAATCTCACACCTCAAAGACGTCACTTCGAATGTTAACTCCGATAACTAATGAAAGTTTTACGAATTCATTTTGAAAACTTTTTTGTATATTCGTACTCGAATCCACTTCAGGTTTATTTTCAAGTCCATAAATGTGAATTAACAAAACAACAAAGCAATGCTTCTGAAGTTGCGATATCATTCGAAATAATACACAATAAAAGCGTAAATCTTCTTTTACGACGATGACAAGTTGAGCAAATTTTTGAAACTCAAAAGATGAACTTTCATAACAACGAAACAATTGAATAAGCATAACAACAGAATAACAATTCGATATTATGTACGTATAACAGAATATGAATAACGAAGTATTTCTTGGAAAGTAAATTTATCTTCCATTCAATTCAGAACGCTAAAACTCATTAACAAGATCATAAAATGAAATATCACAGAGCATTGGATGTTGACTCAAATACATATTTAGAAAATCATCCAAATTTCCAGAAACGAAAACTTTCGAAGTGCGACACGAATATAAATTAGATAAATTTGGTGNATCGCTTCGTTAGAGCAAGACGTTAGAATGATCCCAAATGCATTCATTTTTTGCATAACTAGACATGACACTTCTGCATGATGAATATTTTAAAGGAAAAGAGAAAGAAAATTAGAATATTTCCAAAACAATTCAATAACACCGTCATTAGAACTCTCTTCTTTCGTTGTGTGCTTCATGAACAATTGCCTATTAATAGCTTGGAGAAACAGAAGTGCTCGAAGCAAGAGCAAATGATGAGTTGATTATGAAGAGAACAAGAGATTATTTTTTGACAATCTGAACGACATCTTCATGATGCAGCTTATGATGGATTCCCACTCGTTGCGGTGAAAATTTGGTGCTTGTTCCCCAAACGATCGCATATCGGAACTGTGCAACCAGGGTTCGATGCAGTGCATGGCATGCATGTTCTACGGTCGCACCACGTCTCAAGATGACACCGTCACTAGGACCTGAAACAGTAACCACTTCACACTCACTCACGATAATTCAATAATAATGATGAGTCGCTCAACTTTTTTTAGTGATCATATGATGACCAACCTTTCGAATTGATTCATTACTGAAACACACATGAAATAGAAAATGAGAAACGTACCCAAATCGGGTGCATTTCCGGGCTTCTTAGTGTAAATACGAATAAGGGCCAAATATTCCCAAATCATCTCGATCATATAGTCCATATTCAGTCGCATTTCACAACTGATTACAATCGAATGCTTTTGATGGGCAAGTCTTAAAACCAATCACCACATGTCAACACCGGTTAACATGAAAAGCCAAAAAAATAAACAAACAAAGTTTCTTAGTCAATTATTTCCCAAAAATTTTAACAAACAAAAATCCTTATCGATTCTAGTT